CACCATGGGTAGCCGGTGCTATGGGTGTGCGTCCAAGTTCTCTGTCTTCAAGAAAGAGGCAAGTCCGGCTGAGGGGACCTGAGCGGGGAACCGGGAAGCCTGCCTCTCTCGGCGCCGAGGCACGCTTCCCGACTGGCATCGAAGTGTTGTTGTCCTTGCTTGCTTACTGAGCTCTTGTGGTGCCTATGTCTTTAAATATGTGCCATCACTGCAAAAAAAGGAGAAAAAATCGTCATTAGATGTCGTCCCTGTAATCCGGTATTCAGTCGTTGTCTCAGAGAATTCCCCACATACGCCATTTATTATTCTATGGGATGAAATGGTATCTCTGCTTCTAGCAGGAGTTATGTGCTGGTGCTCAAAGGCTCTCGAGAGTCTCCATGTCTTCAGTAGCAGCTAATGGTACAGTTCTCTTAAAAAATTACTATAACCCCAGCATTATTTTTAGTCCACCTTGGAATGGGCATTGTTCCTGCATACGGCCAGCCAGAGCAATGGGGTGTGTATGGTGACTTGGTGATGAAGCCCTGTCCTGCTCTTGTGTCTCCGCAGTGTGGATGCAAGAACTGCGGACGGTCGTTCTGCTCAGGCTGCCTTAGCTTCAGCGCTGTTGTTCCCTGCTGTGGAAGCACTCAGCAGAAGGTGTGCAAGCAGTGTCATGGAAAACTAACTGGGTAAGACAGGAGTGTTTCTTCACCCGAAGACAGTGTCCTGCTTTGTTTCTTCGTGTTGCATCCCAGTGTTGTGTTGCAGATTTCTGCGTGAGAGCTGTGCCTTGCACTTGTGCATGCACGCTGCCTCTACCCTGGAGTTTCAAGCCAGGCCGTTACTGAACTGCTGTTACATGAGCTGTGCAGTCCAGAGACAGGAATCAGGATTTGTGAGGCTGCTCTCTACGGTGACAGAGTAGTCTGAAAGAACCAGGTTTAAATGTTCATGGATGGACACTGAATGCCTGTGGATATCTTAGCTAGACGAGACCAGGTTAAGCCCCACTGTGTTTTTGCCCAGAAATCTACACCCCTTTGAAAGCACTGGCAGTTTTTTCAGATGTGTAGTGGTTGAATGGCCTGACAATAAGATATTCAAAGTGTTACTACCTCTGTGGGCAAACAGTGACGCAAATCCTCATTGTTGAGGGGTCTATGCTACGTGTAGCCTGAAGACTTAAAATTTTGTAGCATAAAATCGGTTTGCTTTTAAAAGAAAAAAAAAATATTTGCAAACGTAACCTGTAGATTGCCTGTTGAAAACAAAAAATGTAACTCAGTAGCAGTATGGGTTATACATGTGAACAAGTAACACAAGAGCACAAGTGTACACCAGAACCCCTCTCTCAACCAATTCTTCTGTGTCCTCTTTCTTCTCTTACGTTTCTCTTACCTCCTCTCTCAACCAATTCTTCTGTGTCCTCTTCTCTTACGTTTCTCTTACCTTTCTTCCTTACTTCTCTCCTATAATAAGGAATTTTCACCAGCCAGTGGGGAATTTTCTGGCTCCGCAGGTGTTTAAAGGAGAAGAGCCTCTCATTAACGGAGGCTTCATTTCAGCAGCACTGGCTCATGAAAAGAGTATGAGCTATTGATGGTGAAAGTACAGTATTCGGTCTTTCAAAATTTTCTGTGAAAAGAGTATGAGCTATTGATGGTGAAAATACAGTATTTGGTCTTTCAGTTTCAAAATTTCCATTTACAACTCCAAAGCCATTAAGAAAACAAGGCAGCCTTTCTCCATGTTTCTTTTGGGTTTTTTTCTCACCTGTTTAATATCAGTACTATAAAGTTACAGCAGAAAGGAATCCTTCCTGGCTGGGTAGCAGGTAGATAATACACATAGGCTGCAGCTCTGTGAGCTGCATGTATTGATAGCAAATAGCTTTCAGAACTGAAACCTTAGAACTGGAAAGCGGTCCAACAATGCTGCGTTCATTCATTACTATACAGGCCTTAGCACAGCACAGGTGTGTTTGTGGCTGTGACTTCTAAGAATGAATAAAATATGCTAACTACCTTACATAAGTGCGTACTTTAGCAGCTCAACCTGAATACAGCAAAGTAGAAGGTAGTTACACAAGATTGTGGTGTTTGTGGTGTGCAGTGTTCAAGTGTGCTGGAAGACGTTATGATACTGGTGGTTATATAATAATTTTTGTAACATTTTGTTTAGCTTGTGCATTATATAATTCTGTGTTTGTTGCATGCCACAGCTCCTTTCAGAGTGTTCTGCTGCATGGAAGCTAATTACAGTGGGAGTCTTGCCTAACTACTCTCTATCTGTTCTCTGAACTGGGAGGTGCAGGCTGTGGGAGGCAAGGGTATTTCAGCCCTTCCTCCTTTGGATCACCGGTGACTGTATTAAATCACATTCTGTCCAGATGCAAAACAACTGGACCAAAGGACTAGAAATTAGATGCAAAACAACAGGACCAAAGGACTAGAAATTAAGTCCCCTGCTGTCCCAGGCAGCTATATTATCTTAATCCTTTCCATAAGCTGATCGCTCTCCATATTAATGAGGTTATGAAAGGGGCTGTAACAGGAGGTCGAGAAATGTATATTGATTCCTCTTGAGTTGAGAGACTAGATGATTGAAGCATTGCCAGTATCTTGAGTTCAGAGAAATTGTTGGTTTTGTCTTCTAGAGAGGGATCTCAAAGCAGTTCAGCAAAATGGTCACCACCAGAAAACTACAAAAAGTGAGTTGCATTTGCCAACCAGACAGTTGTTTCTGCTGCAGAGTAGCCTTTCAGGCCCTCACTCCTCTTCCCCTATAGAGACCAGGAAAAGTGGGGGTTGTGACGTGGGTATTTGTGTGTTCAGAATTAGATTAAGGATGGGGGTTTTGTTTTGTTGTTTGGGGTTTTTGTTTGTTTGTTTGGGAGGGTGGGGTGTGTGCTCTTTTGAATAGACTCCTGAACATCCACCTGCCTATGTTTATCTGTGACTGATCAGGGTTGGCTTGGAAACAGGAACCTGGTGGTGAAACATCCCTTGTCTCCTTGGAAATGGTGCCAGGTGTGCTGCTCCTGTGAGCTAAGGTTTTCCTTGCTCTTGGGAGTACCTCATTGTGTCGATATGGGAGAGCCTGGTCCAGGAGGGAGTGGGTTCTGTTCTGTTCTACACCAACATTCTTCAAATAGCCTGTTGGGTTCACAGAGGATGTTTTCATATCTCAGGGTTTAAACCCCTGTTCTCAGTTGTTACATCTTTTTTCCATTCTTGTCACAGGCGTGTAGCAGCTTTTGAGGCTAAGCAAAACCAGCTGAAAGAACAACAGAAGGCAGCTGCAAAACCCCCAGGTCAAGCAGGCTCCAGATACCAGGGGCTCTCAAAAGAGGATAGAGCTATTGCAGAGAGACTGGAGAGGCTCAGAGAGGAAAGGAGACCAAGTGAGTATTGGAGGATACCAGAGGTACCTTGTTTGGGAACACTGCTGCTTAGGAAACATGGAACCTGGAGGGAGAGGGAAGTGCTGGGCTTTCAGAGCCTGCCTTTTTAGGGAATTGAGGAGTTAAATTGGACAGAGCATGCACGACCTGCTGCCACAATGGCCAGATTCTATAAGGATTTTAGATTAATGTCCTAGTTTCTTTTTGCTTCTTGGGGTTTCCCTTGAAAGTGCTTCTCAGTTTTGGGGCAGTATCTTACCTGTAAAATCACTTTCTCATTTTCCATTGTTTGGGATAAAAGCCTGTGTCAAGCCCAAGAGGAGCAGAATGAAATGAGGGTGTTTGGCCAAACTATTTTGCAGAAGGTTTCCTGTGGGTCATTGTCCTGGGCAACAGCAGTGCCAGCCTCTATGGGATTATGTTCTGGCCAGCCTTGCCTCGCAGAGGAGAAAAAGGACTCTCATCCCAGTCCATAGCTGTCAGGTTCTGGGACAGCCTTGTGGTGCTTGTGGGAGAATAAACTATTTAAAAAATGATATATGATCTCTAAATGATATGTGATCTCTTCCCCTCTAAAAGGGAAAGAACACACTGCAAAGTGGTTATCTGATTATCATAGAATCATTTAGGTTGGAGAAGACCTTAAAGTTCATCAAGTCAGACCGTAAACCTAACACAGCCAATTCCACCACTAAATCATGTCCCCGAGTGCCACATCTACCTGTCTTTTAAATACCTCCAAGGATGGTGACTCAGCCACTTTCCTGGGCAGCCTGTTCCAATGCTTGACAACCCTTTGACTGAAGAAATTTTTCCTAATATCCAGTCTAAACCTCCCCTGGCAAAACTTGAGGCCATTTCCTCTTGTCCTGTTGTGTGGCGGGGGAGGGTTTCAGTCTGATATGCCTAGGATTACATTAAGAGATGTGGGAGCAATGGACTGTACTGCCTAAATGACACATTTCTCTGCCTGTCCCTAGTATTCCGAGGCAGCTGATTGCCAAATGACATTGGCATTTGACCCTACTGACCCTAATACTCGCCTTATGGCTACGAGATAAGCTGTGAAGGAGGCAAGGACTCAGAAGAAAAGGATAGCAGTTAGTGTTAGGGTAGTCTCCCAGTGACTGCAGTAGGACCCCTCATTCACGTCAGGCTGAGGGAGGTTTTTGCTCAGGTGTTCAGAGTCTGCTTCCAGAAAGAAATACAGTTTTAAGAAAAAAAAAAATTGAAGCCTCTTGTTTTCAATAACAGAGTAATCTCCTCCCTTGGGTTATTTTGAATTGCAGAGTCCATCCCTACTCAGGCTGAGATCGAAGCTAGGCTGGCTGCCCTGAAGGAGGACTACCGGGGACCTGTTCCATCCACACAGGAAATGGAGGACCGGTTGGCTGTCCTGCAGGGGAGAGATCCTCCTTCCCAGGCTCCCAGACCTGTAAGCTCCCTCAGCTCTTTAGCCAGCAGTGTATTCTGAGCTGACACAGTAACTGGTCTCCCAGCATGTGAGCCATTCTTCCTTCTTCAGCTTTTTTGTGTCCAGGTGCCTCCCTTCAGAAATCTCCATTTCCTGTTTGTGTTGTTGCTCCAGAAGCAAATGGCCAGCTGTTACCAGTTCACTGCTTCAATCTGAATGCAGCATGTTCCTTTATATCAAATGTAGTTCATGTGTTTATTTTTAACAAATGATGCTAATTTTTTTCTTCTCAACCCATTTGTGTACCTAAGTGGTGTGATATTTTTTCAGAGCTATTTGTCTGTCTTTGGGGCTTATCAGCCCTACCTTCTAATTGTATCTTGTAGTTGTTACTGCATCCCCGCTGGGCAAAATCCTGTTAATTATTCCAGAAATGAAAGCACAGAGTGGTTGGTCTGAGATTGCAGAGGAATGAGTTGGCTATATACCTTCGAAGCCTATATGAATGATCTTGTCCCCGAGAAATTGTTTCCTCGTGCTCCTTTTTCAGCAGTGCTGCACACCCAGCTGTTTTCATAGGCCTCAGCGGGGCTGCTGGCTGGCACTGTTGAGAATGGCACTTATTTACATTGAAGGTAGTGGCAGAGCTGGGGTTGGGACCCACTAGCATGTACTCCTATACATTCAGCACCACTTTGCCTTGTTCGGGTGACTGCTTTCAGAGTTGTGCGCTTTCAGCACCTCTGAGAACGAAGCCCTGAACGTCTTACACCAGATAACCGTAAGCTGAGGCTCTCAGATCAGCGGATGCATCTTTTTATGCTGCTCCCACCTAGGGAGATGATCTTGGCTACCAAACTTTTCCTTTGATTGAGCGTCCTACTTTCCTCTCATTTGCCTTTTCCCATGCCCTTGTTTCTTAGGTACACCGACCTCCTGATACCAGAAGTCTGGTCCAGCAGACAGATGACCTCTTAACTCAACTGTCTGAGGAAGTTGCCATTGATGAGCATTACAGACCAAGAGTCCAGCCTCAAGGTATTTATTTTGGCTTCCAAAGACCTGTTTCTGTCGAGTAACGTATGTGCTATAGTGAGAAGGGAATATGTGCCTCCCTATCTAGCTTACAGGTGAGCTGGGTGTCCAGTTTGTCCTTATCTCCCCATTGTGACTCACAGATTGACCAAGAGCAGGCATCTGACTCCATACTGGGTCTCATTGTCTTTGCTTGGGAGATGGTTCCTTCTTCTCAGGGTTGTATTATTCTCTCTGTTTCTCTAAGGTGACCCTTCCCTGGGGAGGAGCTGTTACTTCTCCTAACACACCTGTGCTCTGTTACAAAACATCAGAATCTGGGATACCATTATCTTACTAGCTGCGGTGTTTTCTCTGTAATCTCACTGTAAACCACAGATTAGCTCACTTTCTTCTCTTCATGTGTGGATCCTACTGTGGCATGCCTCCTCTTGTTATTACCCAGATTAATGGAGAGCAGCAAGCTGCTGTCATGCCATTGCTTTGTCGTGTTGTCTGTGCTCAAGGAACATTGCTGCTGAGTCACCAGCATGTTCTGTGTGTCTGTTTGCAGCTGTTAGTAGCCAAAGTTTGAATGATCTCAATCGGGAGAGTGAAGATTGTGTTTGCCCTGCAAATCTGGACCCCAAACAGCTAGAGGAAGAGAAGAATAAACTTCTGGCAGAAGCTGCTGCTGAGCTGCGGGAAGAGAACACTAGGCAGGAAAAGATCCTAGAAGTTGCCAAGAGACTGGCAGCGCTCAGAGGCGAGGACCCAGAGAAAGGTGGGTAGCAGACAAGAATACAGTGCCAAGAAAGGAACCAAGTTCCTGTGACTAATTTCTCACAGGAACTCTCTTACAGAGTACTTTCTTCTCTGAGAAGCGTTCATGCATTTAATTCCTCTGTTCTGCAAGAAACAGACTGAGATTTGGTTCTGTCTATAAAGTTTACAGGTTGGTTCATCATGAAATCAGTATGAAAGATCTTAGTTGAGGGTAAAGGCCGGACCCGTAAGGTCAGACTGCTTTGTCTTGCACCCTTCTTTGAGATAATTCTAGCATGCTTTGGTGAGGTTAACAAAGCTTTTAAAAGTAAAGCTCTGGTTTTGGTGGGGATTTTTTCCTTCCCTCTTCCAATATTAAAAACAAACAGTAACGTCCTTTTTGAGGAGTCCTCATCTGAAAAGGATCTGAAATGTGCCAGAACCAGAATGCCAAAACCAGCTCACACCACAAAGGATTGTCTCTGGCACGTAAGTGGACGCAAGGTTTGAGGCAGGTGTGGTTTACAGTCTCCTGTCTCTTACTCCTGCAGTTACGCTGGAAACCTATAAACTCCCTGACAGTGATGAGGAAGTGGCTGAGGAGGAAGCCATCTGCAGAGTGCTAAAACAGGTCAGAAGTGGCAGCTGTGGCCTTGTTCATTTTCCTCTCAATTATTCCCAGTGTGTATGTTACCTGGTGAGCGTGCAAAGGATATGTTTCTGTTCCTGGGCAGAGTTTCATTCCTTCCCCTCCTAGTGCTTTTCCAATACTAGCTCCCATGGGCCATTCAGCTACAGGCGATTCACAGCATTACTTCTAGTCTGTCACATTGTCTTTCTCATTCATGCTTAGGGTCTCTTGGGGTGTGTGTCTCCTCTCCAAACCCACTCTGCTGGTACTTCCTTACTTGTTGTTTCATCTTTTCCCCCCATCCAACTAGAACATGAATGATGAGATGCATGCTGTTTAGTGCAGCTTATGCCTAGATTTCTCTCTAAAATGTCTATGAATTGTCTTGCAGGCAGACACGAGCTTTCTGTGCTTAAGTTTCTGCCTGATTACAGACCACACGTGTGTGATTAGCGTGACATTGAGGGTCTGCTGATAACTGCACTGCAAAGCAGAGTGCATTAGCTGAAGGCCCCTGCTGCTACACTGACTGTTCACAATGTACACACAGTGTTCAGAGTGCAGACAGAGCAAGCCCACATCTGTCTGGATAACACCAGATGTATTCAGACTTGTCATCTCCTGTTACTGCATGAGAGCAAGGAGAAGGGCAGGAGGCTTAGAGCCTAGAATTAGGCTCTCAACTGTTTGAAACAAGAGGCTTCTTGCATTCTGTTGTTAACAGCTCACAGAGGAAGCAGCCCTAGATGAAGCAAGTGGATTCAACATTCCTCCGGATCAGACCGCCCAACCAGGACCCTCGCAACAGAACCTGTGTAAGAAAGCAAAGCAAAAGGTCAGTGAGCTCGTCAGGATCTCTTGAAATGACATGTTCCAGGGTCTCAGGAGAGTACAGGTCGGCAGCAAAAGTTTGCTGTATCCTGGGCTTGATGCAGGAAAAAAAAGTCCAACCAGCTTCTCCAGAGCAGACAAGCTGAGTGGCTTCTGCAAGGCTGACCAGTCCTGAGCACAGCTGTGAGTCATCCTTGTACTTTTAAAAGGAATTGCTCCCTGGAATGCAATTACTTTCAGGCTGGCTTTCTGCTGAATGGGATGGTGTCCTCTAAACCCAGAGAAGTTAGCGTAGACCTCTGTCCTGGTTTTGGCTGGGATAGAGTTAATTTTCTTCCTAATAGCTGGTATAGTGCTGCGTTTTGGATTTAGTATGAGAAGAATGTTGATAACACACTGATGTTTTAGTTGTTGCTAAGTGGTGTTTAGGCTAGTCAAGGACTTTTCAGCTTCCCATGCTCTGCCAGGTGCACGAGAAGCTGGGAGGGAGCATAGCCAGGACAGCTGGCGCAACTGGCCAACAGGGTATTCCATACCATATGATGTCATGCTCAGTATATAAACTAGGAGGCGTGGTTCGGGAAGTAGCGATAGCTGCTTGGGGATGGGCTGGGCCTTGGTCGGCAGGTGGTGAGCAATTGCAT